ACTGTTGCTGCGAGATAGGGACAAGCTCCCTCAGCCTAGTGTTGACCAGGCGCTCGTACAGCTTCATGGTATGGGGAGTCAACTTGATGCCGCGGTAGTTGGAGCACTCCGTCGCGTCCCCTTTCTGTTGAAGATGGGGACGATTGTGCTGCTCCTCCACGCATCTGGCATCCTTCCTTCAGCCGTTACGTTGTTTAGGAAGTCTGTGAGCCAACTCACCCCATCTCCCAGGGCCTTCCATGCCTCTATCGGTACCCCGTCTGGACCCACTGCTTTCCCAACTTTCATTCTCCCTAGCTCCCGGCGGACTTCATCCTTCGTCCAGGGCGTGATGGGACCTGCCGTCGCCTCTATCTGTGGGCTGTCCTTGCGGGGAATTCTTCGTTCAGAAGTCCCTCGAAGTATTCTTCCCACCTCTTTCTGACTTCGGCTGGTTTCCTGAGAATGGCCCCGTTGCTGCTCTTCACAGTCTTTACGACCCTGAGCAGCGCGATGCCGAGCTTTAGCCAGGCGGAAGACGAACTTGTCCCCTTCTCGGCCTTCCAGCTTGTCGTACAGGGCGTCCATTTCCGTATTCTTGGCCTTAGCAACGGCTGCCTTAGCGAGTCGCTTGCAGCTCTTGTAGGCAGCGAAGTCTTCTGGGCTCCTTGTCTTTTGCCAGCGTTTATATATACCATTTTCACTTTAAATTCACCCTTTTTCAAACCAAATTCGTCCTTTTTCAAACCAAATTCGTCCTTTTTCAAACCAAATTCGTCCTTTTTCAAACCAAATTCGTCCTTTTTCAAACCAAATTCACCCCTTTTCAAACCAAATTCACCCTCACTTTTCATCAAGTTAACCACACTTATTAGGGCGGGCAACTCATCAACCAGATCACGCCAGACATCACGAGCCCCGCCCCGACGGCCACGCCCACTTGTCAGCGCGGACATAGATTCTCAAATCTTGTTTCATAACTTCTGCTTTTGCTGTTTCCCACAAACACTTTGACTGGAAACCACCGTGCATTCACACATGACACACGCCGCGCATTCTCTAAAGGGTTTG